ATCAAGAAAGCTTTTGATATGTGGCCATTTGGGTTTGCCACGACTTGCGACTAAACAAAAAGGACTCGATCCTTGGTCATTAAGCTTGCAACGGCTTGTGGCTAAGCAAAATAACCTTTGACACATGGTCATTTGGCTTTTAATGGTCTGTGGTCGAACAAAATAGCCTTCAACACATGGTCGTTTGGCTTTTAATGGCTGGTGACTGAATAAAATAGCATTCAACATGTGGTCGTTTGGTTTCTAATGGCCATGGCCCAACAGAATAGCCTTTAACATTTGGTCGTTTAGTTGTAAAAATAATTGTTATTATTGTTCGCCTTATTCTTTTAAGAAGCAATTTTGAAAAATGTGCCTTGAGAGTGTTACAATTTACACTACTTTGACATGACATGTAATTAATGAGTCCTAACGGTTTGCTTAGTTAAGCCATCTTTCCCCCCTTCCAAGCTAACGACTCAAACACGAGTCAGCTCTGACGAGCTGAAGGTGTAAGGTCGTAGCTCTTTTGGCTGAGGGAGACATGTGTCACACTCTAAGTGACCGTGCATTGGTGGCTGTTAGATTGGAAAGATCCTGGTCGTTGAGGGCCTTAATGAGGCCCTACGATATAAGCCTCAAGACTCCACTCCTTAAACACTTTTGCCTTTGATAAGGGTTTTGAGGGTCTCCTCATTTGTTAGTTCAGCAGATGCCAAAGTTTTGTCCAACCTCTCTCTGTATATAGAGATCTTCTGTTTTTCCATAGTTATCTTCGAGCAAACCGCAGGTTGCCTTGTCTATAATCCTCAAATGAGCAATCAACCTGTATGATTGCACAAGATGGTTAAAGAATTTTATTTAAATCAGCAGCCAAAACATAGTCCTCAAAAGCTATTAACTGTAAACAATTAGACAATACACTGGACCATCTCGAGGAGTAATCAACAGAAGAAAGTAGGATTAACAACAAAAATAAAAGCAAACAACAGAATCAGAACAAAGCAGCGAAAACAACAGCACATACCAGAAAACAAAGCAGCACATAATTTTCATTGATTAGAACAAATCAGTGAGATTCCAGACAACAGCAAACAGCAGAATCAGAACAAAGCAGTGAAAACAACACATCTTAAGCACATGAGAGCAAAAATCAAAGGAAGCAAAACCATCCAGCCATATAAATAATAAAAGGGAAACCGTAACCAAACTTAGCAAGAGCAGGAAAATGTTGCAAGAATTATTGAATTCACCATATTCTCATTCAAATCATAAGCATACTGTTGAAAGGAAGATTAACCATCCAACACATATGGAAAAATAACCCACAGCCAGGAAATTCACAAACTTTCAGCTCACATGAGACTATGAGAAGCTCCGAACGAACGAACACCAGGAAACCCAGAATCAGAAAAATGAAATCAGAACAACCAATTCCTCAAATTCCAATTCAGAGCTGAAGCACACATGGGTTACAGAAGCAGATTCCAAAACCAAAAAAGTCAAGAACTTTAGAGTCACATGAAAGACTCTCAACCAAATAAGAACTACCCAGAATGCAGATCTCAATTAATACACCTCTGACATCTCCCCCACGCATTGATCACTGCGAAAAGGAGACAAAACCACCTGATGCGGGACCTTCTAGACGGACAATCAACATGGGGTCCTCCTCTCGAGCATAACGGTTGCCAAACAGGCAGCAGAACCCCTAACAAATCACAGCTTCCAGGAAACTAAAAAAATATGCTTTGCATTAAAATACAAAAAAGCAAAAACAAAGTTAATTTATTTAAACGAGTTAAATGAACATACAGGAGGAGGAGGATGAGGGCGTTTGTAGGTTAGAACAAGTTGGAAGAGACAGCGGGCAGCGGGACCCACGACGGCAATGGGATTGAAGCTACCAGATAAGTTACGTTTGTTGTGAGCCATTAGCGGACTTGGACTTTCCCGGTGAAAAAAGCTGCAAGCTTTTACCTCAGACGGTGCTGGCTGCGTTGTTCTTAAGCTAAGAATTTGCTGCATTCAAGCATTTCCAGGACCAGGAATTGATAACGCATTTATGCTTTCATTTTTAAAAAATTCCTTGACAATGTGAAGCTAATCCTTTTTCTTTAATTGAAAATAATAAACAATTAACCTTCTGGCTTAATTCAATAATTAATCTAAT